CAACAACATAATGAGAATCCCTAAAAACGAAATAACATTAAATACCTACAATTTTAACAAATTTTTCAACATGCAAGTAATTGTGATGATACAGTTGAAAATATGCCTTAATTTTCTATTTATTGTTTTAAAAACAGATTCAGAATTATCAAACATTTCGTCCTTTTTTCTTTCATTACTTGTAAATTTTGAGGTATTTAATTGTTGAATTGTCTCCACAAAAATATGTTTAAAGGACTGAGATCGGGGCTGTTTTCTGGCCACCTAAGGTTTCTAATAATATTTTTTTTTTGTTCGTTGACCAGATTTGTCCTCTAAAATAAATTTGCCGATATTCCTGAAGAACTTTTGTATATATGAAAGAAAAAAACAATATTTGCTTGTACCTCGGAAATGACTCAAAATATCAAAAAATCTCCCATGGTTCTGCTTGGTGATCGAGTGAAAATGCATGTCGAAATAAGAAAACTTCGGGACCAACGGTGTGTGACATCATAGAATAAAAAAGTGTTTATAACTCGGAAACGGTGCTTTGAATCAAAAAAATAATTGAAAAAATCTCCCCACACCCTTGATTCTGATTGTCCGTTCTGCGTTGAATGCAAAAGGTCCGAAGTCCTTTTAAGTGGTCTATCGTAAATCATATTGTGCGTCGTACTAAGAAATTGTTAACATTATTTCTCCATTTGGACTTATGGACATGCATTGTGAACAATTTTTTAGTAGGACCTTCTGTGTTTCCAAACTGCGTAAATGGACAGTATTATTTAATATTTAGAAAATCATTTATCAGTTCTTGTGATTTAGGAAATATAGTAATTACAACAAGTGATTCGTGCTGGATGAGAATAACGAAAGCCTTCTCGTTCTCCCTATTTAAATCCTTTAGACATCAAAATATAAGCTGACTAAAATGTACACATGGTGTTATATTTTTAACTTTAGTAAAATATTGCCCCATCTTTTTTGGTTGATATTTTTTCACGTAGGTATTTGACACCAGAACGTTAAAATTTAATTTTTTTACAGAAAAAAACGTCTCATGATTCAATTAATAATAATGTAGAAAGTCACTAATCTGTGGACTATAATCATCGCATTGGATTACATCTGCAATATCTATAAACTGCTAAGTGATAATTAAGATATAAATTTGCTATTTATAAATATTAGACCCATCGAAAACATTAAAATGCCAAGTTGCTGGGGTCATAACTAAGAAATATCAGACGATTTTCCTTAGTGTCCTCCTCCTCGCAACGTTAAAGGGTTAAATTTCCTTTTCTGAACGCTAATGGGCAATTTGTTTCGCTTTCAGATAAGACCATTATTTCCTTCATGTAAATTCATGGCCCAGAGTTAAGCACAGTGTATTGGTGCATTGCCGAAGTAAAAGTAGGTCGATGTCGATAAGTAATAGCTTCATCCACGGTATACCCTCCCTGTTATCCGTACGTACATTTCCACGGTACGGAAATTCCGCTAGAGCTTGTTTTCGACTTCTCTATTTTATTCCCTGTGCGACTGGGAAAAGGGGGATTTCCAAGGGGTAATAGAATGTAGGAAGTGGGTGACGAACTCTGACTCTAAACTCGCTTAAAGACGTTTTTATTGCTTTTCTGGATGTCGAGGAAAGGATTTTCCGCGATTTTCGACGTCTGGAGAGAACTGAGGGGAACGAAGTGAGGAAACTTGTAACGGATTTTCTTCATAAATACATATATTTAAATGTACTCATTTTGATTTACCGACATCGAAAAGCATTGAATAAGCAATATACAGGGTGTATCTAAATAACACCGAAAAAATTCAAGGGGCGATTCTCCGATGAAAATTAATAGGGGTCTTTGGTATAAATTTTTTTGAAAAAACCCTCCCCTGAAAAGTTACGCCCCTCCTAAAATTACAAAAAAAAATTGTTTTTCTTTTTTATCTTCCACGTACATCAAGCTAAAGAAACCAAACTTGGTGAACATTATCTGTCAATAAAACTACACTTTTTGAATTTTTTTCAACCCTGAACTATTTTTGTAAGGGGTTGAAATAATCAACCCCTATGACATTTTTTCTTATAATTTTTTTTTCGATAAAATTTTTTCCTTTTAAAAAATATGTCTAAAAAACCCCATTCATTTACTAACTTTTTGATCTCTTCAAGTTTCTTCGAAAAGTTAAGGATTTATGACAAAAAAAAAAAAATGTATTGTAATGTATTTTTAAAAAGATGAGCTGTTTAACGCGAGTGTATTTTGCCGAAAGATCTAGTGGCCTGTTCTTTACAATGGAATCCGTAGAAACAAATGTCAATGTCATTTATTGTTACTGTTTCTTACTATTTCACAAGTTTCATGATTTTGTGTAGAAAATATTAGTTAATAAACCGAAAATATGGTTAACTATTCGAATTTAGAAATGGCAGATATGCATTTTACATATGGGTATGCTAACGGTAATGCATTGGAAGCGCAAAGACTTTATGCTGAACAGTACCCAGAGCGTAGATTACCCCACCATACTACGTTCACAAATATTCACCAACGCTTGCGGGAACTTGGAAAATTTGAAAAGAGAAGTCATGACTGTGGCCGTAGCCGAGAAGTTAGAACTGAAGCTGTCGATGAAGCCGTACTTAATTTAATTGAGGAATCCCCAGAAACTAGTACCAGGAAAATAGCTCGTGTCCTAAATGTAAGCCATTCGGTAGTTTTTAGAATTTTAAAAGAACAACAGTTATATCCCTATCATCTCCAACGGGTGCAGTCGTTACTGATTCGAGATTTTTTACCACGTGTGGTTTTTTGTCAATGGCTTATTAATATGATCGGCCAAGCGCCGCAGTTCTTAAGAAATATTTTATTTACTGACGAGGCGAATTTCTCAAGAGACTGTATTAGAAATTTTCGTAACAATCATATTTGGGCTGAGGAAAATCCTCATGACTTTTTTGAAGGAAATCATCAGTATCAATTTTCATTAAATGTGTGGCTCGGAATTATCGACGATCATTTAATTGGTCCCTATTTTCTTCCACGACGATTAGATGGTGACTCATATTGTCATCTTCTCGAAGAATTACCTATTATTCTTGAAGAAGTTCCCATTCAAATTAGGCAACGTTTATGGTTTATGCACGACGGTGCACCAGCCCACTTTAGTATACGTGCAAGACGTCACTTGGATGAGGTGTATGCCAATCGATGGATAGGTCGAGGAGGATATGTAAATTGGCCAGCCCGCTCCCCTGACCTTAATCCTTTGGATTTTTGCATATGGGGATATCTGAAATCTTTGATCTACTCAAGGCCAGTTGAAGATATCAATGATTTGCGAAACCGCATTGTAGCAGGGTGTGAAACGATAAAAAATTCACCAGGAATATTTGAACGCATACGCAATTCTATGAGAACAAGAGTAGATGCTTGTATTGAAGCTGAAGGCAATCATTTTCAACATTTTTTGTAGATTGTATTGTCAATATCCGACAGATTTTTATTTTTTGTTACTGTTATAACATTATTCATCATTTGTTCACTTTTAGTCTAAGTTCCAAACTTCTTAGCCTAGTAGAATCATAGGTCAACTATTTGGTTGAGTGTTTTTTAATAAAATGTTATTTAATATGACAATAAATGACATTGACATTTGTTTCTACGGATTCCATTGTAAAGAACAGGCCACTAGATCTTTCGGCAAAATACACTCGCGTTAAACAGCTCATCTTTTTAAAAATACATTACAATACATTTATTTTTTTTTGTCATAAATCCTTAACTTTTCGAAGAAACTTGAAGAGATCAAAAAGTTAGTAAATGAATGGGGTTTTTTAGACATATTTTTTAAAAGGAAAAAATTTTATCGAAAAAAAAATTATAAGAAAAAATGTCATAGGGGTTGATTATTTCAACCCCTTACAAAAATAGTTCAGGGTTGAAAAAAATTCAAAAAGTGTAGTTTTATTGACAGATAATGTTCACCAAGTTTGGTTTATTTAGCTTAATGTACATGGAAGATAAAAAAGAAAAACAAATTTTTTTTGTAATTTTAGGAGGGGCGTAACTTTTCAGGGAAGGGTTTTTTCAAAAAATTTTATACCAAAGACCCCTATTAATTTTCATCGAAGAATCGCCCCTTGAATTTTTTCGGTGTTATTTAGATACACCCTGTATATTCGCAACATATTCAAAATACTCCTTAAATAAAAAAATATCCTCAACCAAAAATAGTTAACATGATTGTTGTACAGAGCAAATTTCCAATATGTAGTTCAACTTTCATGATTATTGTTGTTTCAGATGTAAATGAGATAATATTAAATAATCAGATTTACAAAAAAAAATTAGAGTAAATAAATTTCTGATACTGGAAAAAGATCCATATTGATAGTGGCATGATATTTTAAGAAAATAAAGTTTCTATTTAGATTTGTCGTGAGTTATTATCCAAAAATGGAAATGTTTGTTTCCAGCGGATTTAATCCGTCGATTAAGACTCGCAGATTTATTTTTATTGCACATATAAAAAATATCTATCCTTGAATTTCTTTATGAGTTGAGACATTTTTCTTTGCGTGTACTTAATAATCCTACACCGTGTTACTAATTGTACAGAAAAATCCTGATAATAGAATGCCTCGAAATAAAAAACCAAGTTCTCAAAAATATAATTTGGGAAATAGTTAGTTTTCGAGGTATAAAATTGAAATGATTTTTGGAATATTTTTACAACATCTAAAGATAAACAAATAAAAATGTATTTTATCTTTTATCTCTATTTTTTATAAGAAAAAATAACAACTATGAACCAAAATGATTTAGGGGTCGGTAATACTAAGGGGATATATGTAAAACGTTGCCCCGTTGATATTTTTTCACATATTTAAACTAAAAGTTAAAAATTTTGGTTTTATTTACAGAAAAAAACGTCTTATTTAACACATTTATTTTGAATTTTGAGTGAATATGTTCACATCTTATGGTATTAGGTATAGTCAGGAGATTTACCTTGATAGTCTTCTGGAACGTACATCAGCTGGTCCACCACCCTGTCTCCGTCGGCTTGATCGGGGAACAACCTAGGGGGCCCCTTGTAGTTGGTGGGATATTCAGTGCCACCGGCCATGAACCAGGGCCTGCCCTGCTTCTCGGTCGGCTCAGTCTCTTCGGAATTGACTCTTTCATAGTTTTGTACGATAGATGGGACAGAGGCCATCACGACGAGTTCGTCGTCTGGCTCCGGGTTTGCCTGCATGGGGGTGGTCCTGCTGGGGACCCATGAGAACCTGTGGTGAAGCGACACCAGCAGAGACACTCCCAGGAAGAACAGGATCACGAGGAACAGCCTGCGCGCTGACAGTCGCGGAGGCATTTTCAAGGATACTCCATTACCTGGAATGAAATGCGATTCAATTTTTGTACCTACAAGGTGGAGCAGGGGCATTTTGACAAACTTTCGAAGAGAAAAAAGAACAAGAGTACATTTTTTCTTAACTAGACTCTTAAGGGGTCTATAGTCTTTAAAAAATTTGATGTAAAATACAGTTTATTATCAGTTTATTATAAATTTGTGCTTACAATTTTGTAGTAGAATAAGCTACAAATATAGTAAACCACATAAGTGCGTTATTGTGGTAAATGCAGAAGGATTGTAGTCATTGGGTTGTTGTAAAGTTTAATATAAGCATATTGTTTTTTACTATATTTTGTCTTAAATGATATATTGTAAAATTTGAAATGCTGCTGAATAACTATATTTATAGATTGTATTAATACAGCGCTTGTGATAATCGTTACCAAAATTAAAGACACACAATTATAGTTTTATTTTTAGTTTGTTTTATAGTATTACATGTTTATACAGGGTGAATCACAACTTATCAAAAAAAAAATGGGAATAGATGCGGCATAAGAAATGGAGTTAATAACGTAAACAAATATTTTGTAAAATCCTTATAGTTTCCGAGAAAAAAATTATTAAAATTATAGTACATTCAACCACTACATAGCTGGACAACTGTAGCCTCTAGCGTCATTTGCAATACGCGTGGAGAGCCATGTGACTCCTAATACTGAAATCCGTCGTTGCGTTAGTTTTTACCTGTTATCTGTGGTGTTTACAATAGCTTTTTAGTAGTTAGTGTCAAAAATGGTCTGCGTGTATAGCAACTCAGAGTTGATGGATATCGTTTTAATTTATGGTGAAGCAAGACAACATTTGTATTATGGTGAAGCATTTGTGTTATGGTGAAGCAAGACATCATTTGTGATAGTTCGTAGAAAGTGAGTAAGACGGACCCAAATGTGTTTACACGTGAGTGGATACAATTTTGAACAATTGTTGTTATAACAACGGGTATGTCAAATGATTTTATTATTTAAAAACACAAATTAATTTTATTAATAATTAATAAAGGCAAAAGCATTTGAATTTGCCGATATAAAATAGGTGCNTATGTGTATACGAGTAATACCAACGACCTCAGCTGAGGTCTTTGAGTAATACCAATATCATATCCGTTAATAATAAACTTCATTTTTCTCGAAAATGGTACCTGCTACCGAATTTCGACAAGTATACCTCTTTTTATAATATGCTTTAGAGTTTACAGAACCGTTTAGAAATGTAATAAATTTTGACTTGAAACATATTTTTCTTTCGATTGTACCCCTCCAATTACCTGTATCGGCGACACTGCTTTTCAGAAAGAAACCGTTTGCACATTATTCTTAACGCACAGTTGATGTTTACTCGTGTACAAATTTTGACATTTTTATCTTCAGCCGATTTAAAGATAACTAGTTTAGAAAAACCATTTGGAAAGTAATAACTTCAGCACACTGTATCTCGAAAACAGGGCGTCTAAAAAAAAACGTTACATGAACTACCCCCATTATTTTACCATGAGGAATTTGCATACAAGTTTTTTTGAAACATGAACGGGACTCCCTGTATATACGTTTTTAATATATTATCAGTTGTTGATACTTAAATATTTGTAAAAACGTAATGAAAATCTTTAATATTTTCGTGTTGACAGTGTATTGTTTGTTTTAATATTAACGTGAATGTACCAATGTTTTTTGTTTAATAGAAATGTATTATTTGTTATATGTGTTGTATGTTAATAATAAATATATGTATATGAACTGCAGCAAATTCATCTCTTTTGGTAAGGTAATAATCCCCCTTCCCCTCCAGATGTATTTTAATAAAATTTAAGAAACAAAATATTATTCTTAGCAAGTTAAAATAGTAATTAAAGCAATAATTCTGTAAAAAACTACAGGACTATGTATCAATAGTTACAAAACAGTGTATTAAAAATTATTATCAAATGTGTATTTTTTACATAATTTATTGGTAATTTTTAATATATTTAATAGACATATCTATAAAACATTGTGACAATAAACGCACAAAATTTTTAGTAAATGGTACATCAATGTATATAATACTTAGTAACATTGCTATTGTAGTAAAATAGTGCTTGAAGATTATTACTACAAATTGTGTTTGGAGCTACATATAATCACAATAAATTGCAGTACATAGATCTACAATAATTGTAGAAGCGGTTACTATTCTTTTTTTTCAGTGCAGCCACCAAAGATCTGTTGAAGATACAGACTCTAGATTTGGTACAGTGTCTCATGGTATATAGTTAACATGCATGTAAAATTGAATACTAAATCAACAAGTGTTAGTAGTTAACACAAAAAATAAGTCTGAAGGAAGTTGATATACTTACAAAAGCAATAGCAAATAAACTTAAATTAAACAGTAAGCATAGACTAACATACTAACATTGTTATTACCACGAATAAATTAAAAAAATAATAGAAATTTTTTGGTATGCGTTGATTTTCAAAGCATTTCTTATTTTGCATTTGCTGTTGTTATAATGACCTTAAACGATGTTTTCTTGCCTATATGTTATTATCCTCTTAATTGTATTCCTCTTGAAAAACTGTAGTCGTTTGTAAAAAAAATAGGGAGCTTACTCCAGAATCTAAGAAAATACGAAAATTTTTACAAGAGTATTTTTTTTCCTCATGTATAAATATTTAGAAGGACAATTAAAGGCGTAGAAGCTATGCGTCACGATAGACACCAGCTTCCCATATCTACGGCACTGATATGAAAAATTACTAACATTTTGTTGTCAAGTATTAAAAGTATAGGTTTCTTTCCTAAAAGATTTTGTGGAGCTACTATCATTACAAATATATTTTTTTTGGTTCATTTTGAAAATGGCCCATTGTTTGTATAAACTATTTTGCCCATTTTTCTGTGAGGAATATGCCCTTAAAAATTGTACTATAAGTCGCGTGACACCCTGTATAATTACGTATTGTAAAGTGGTGGAATTTTACAGTGTTTTTTGACATTCTTTTGTATAATTGTTAGTTTTTTGTTTAAATCCATACTAGATAAAAAGTGAAAAATCTTTTAATTTTTAGCTGCATTGGGCAGAAATAAAGAAAAAATATTCAAACTATTTTGTTTATTTTCGTTAACTTATAATACCTTGTAAAAAAATCTTTTGGTAATTTTAGAGAATCCAAGAGATGACATTATCACCAGAAAATGTTACCAATACATTTTTTTCAGCGACACTGAATCAGTAAAAACTTTTAAATTTAGAAAAATAGATAAGTTTCAACATTTTGAGTTTTATTTTACATGTAGACCTAATAAAAGTAGTTTACAAATTCCCATACCTTGTTCACAACCTTTGTTTACGCGTTTATAAAAAAATAATCCTACCTGCGTAGATGACACAATTTACAGGGTGATACAACTAAAAGCCGTGATTATTAGCATCCCGCGGTCATTGTTGAGAAAACAGTACCACCGCTCGCAATTTTTGTCAGGCAAAAAATGTAATTAAAAACATACTGGATTGGCAAAGTCACCTTGAGTGGCAATGCCACTCCTCTCACGCTATTTTTAATTATTGAGAAATTAAAGCAAAGTAATTGACTTTTATCCATGGTTCACTGGTGACGAGCTAACACAATCATGGTTTTTGGACTTTTACTCGAGAACGGTGCATTCTAGGAGGAAACTTAGCAACATAAAGATCTCACTAACAATATCTATCCAAATCTGTAAATTTTTCCTGAAAAAAATAACTCAGTAGTTCCTGAGGATTGAACAAAAACTGTGTTTGACGTCCAAACTTTAAAGAATCGTAAAAATATTTTTCTGGATTTTTTTTCTTATTTAGACGAAAAGAATCGGCCATGAAAGTTTGTTGCGACGTCTTTGTGACATCCTGTATAACAGCATTGCAATATAAAAAATATTGAACTGAAATACAATCGCTAGAAGAAAAAATTCGTGAGTTCTTTTAAGGACTGCTTCTTCTATGGAGATATGCGTGATGATGGCAAAGAGGAAAGTGACAGTCATAATTCTAATTACATATTTATGGTAACAGGATTCTAGCACGAAACGAGTGTCTTCGTGTCTAAATCTCCTACGGCTTTACGTAACTAATCTTCCGTTTGATTAGAGTCGGCGATATCTTTTCATCATAGACGCAAGAGATATCACCACAGAGTTTAATATTAGTAATCGGAAAGACTATTTATCAGGAGGATTTAAATGAGCTTTGATCAAGCCTAATATTAAACATCACCCTGTAATACTATTGTCAACCGATGAAATATGTTTGTAATTTATTACACATTTGCATGTAGCCATTTTTAAATACAATCTAACTCTATTTTTGCTGTATACTAATAGTAAGAATAAAACAACTCGCAATTAATACTCCAAGTAATACTAAATTAAATAACTAATATTAAAGTTAAAAAATTTGTAAATTTTCCATACCTTGCACATTCTTATAAAGTCAAAAAACTGTTTGTAAACGACATACTGTCTGCTGATGAAAATGTATGCAGTGTGCACCACATGACGTCATCATAAATAAATAATACAAAACAAGCATACACGGTACCCGATTGTACCAACAGATAGTCTAAAGTGTTTTGTTTCTCTACACTTCTATTGTTTCAGGCACACGAGCAAAAATATATTCGGGGTAGCGGTGGCCGACGTTGTAAGTAAATATAACCGGGGTGGCTAGCAAGGCGAATCGATAGATCATTATCTATCGCTTTGTTCCAGATAGGTTGTTATAGATTTGTTGATTTGTGGATGAGTATTGTGAAGGCGTTCCTAAGGGTTAGTACGTGATAAATGATGACAGCATGGATTAATCGAGACTTTGTAAAACGCGGTTTACATTTAACAGACTCTGATGGTCTGATGTAATAAATTATTCAAGAAATGGCCAAGTTATTGTCTAAATTTAAAGCTTACAACTCTTAGAATAAAAATGTGTTCTAAACTGTTATTATTGAGGCTGAGACTTAAAAAATA